TTGGCCAGCCAATCCGGGTATTTAACTTCCCGAATGTGACCAACACTAAGGAGGTCCTTCACCTCCTTCTTGACGAAGTCTCGCCGGTCGCTGGCCAGGTACCTTTTCTTCTGGCGTACCGGTCGACTTCCCTCCCTTACTGCCAACCGGTGACAGATGATTGAGCGGTCAATTCCGGGCATATCTGCCACGCTCCATGCAAATATGCCCGCGTACTCTTGGAGCACCCGTGTAATCTCTGCCTTGAGATCTTCCGGGAGGTTGGCTCCGATTCTGACCATCCTTGAAGAATCACCCGGGTGAAGTTCGATTTCCACCGTCTCAGCCTCGGGCTCCAATTTCTCCCGGGTCTCTCCCTTGGTGATTTCTTGGGAGATGACGTTGACCCCCTTAGTCATCTTTTTAACCGCCTGGGCATAGCACTCCCGGGCGTTCCTCTGGTCGCCTTTCACCTCACCCACACCGCTTGAAGTGTGGAACTTCATGCACAGGTGAGGCATGGAAATTACCACCCCGACCTTATTGATGCCCGGCCTCCCAAGGATGGCGTTGTGGACGCATTTGATGTCCACCACAATAAATCGCATCTTTTTCCACACGGTCTTTTTGCCCGAACCTAGTTCGACCGGTAGAACTATGGACCCTTCAGCTTCCACCGTATCTCCCGTGAAGCCTGAGAGAGGGGTTTTGAGGGGTTCAAGTTGTGTCCGACACAACCTGAGTTTCTGGAAGGTCTCCAGGTAGAGGATGTTGACACTGCTGCCGGTGTCAACAAGTACCCGGGCGACATCCACCCCATTAATGTCCATGGTGATGACCAATGGATCGTTGTGATCTTCACCGATAGGAGGGAGATCCCGGTTAGTGAAGACGATCGGCTCCCTCCTAACATGTTTACGCCTGGGCGGTTCAGCGCTTACTTCACCAACGTAAATGCTCCGGACCCAGTTCTTCCGTTGCGCGGCTGAGTCTCCACCCTCAGGTCCGCCGAAGATCATGCCGATGTGTTCCTTTTCAGGGGCTGGTTGTTGCTCCCTTTGCCGGTTGTTCCTCCGCCGGTCATTGTCCCGGTCATTTTCCTGGGTCGCTGGCCTTACCCATTGATGATTCTTCTCCTGGGCTTTCTGCAGATAGTCCTTGCCCAGTTCTCCGCTGTCTATCATCTGCCGGATTACCCCCTTAACACTCTTGCATTCGGAAGTGCTATGGGAATCTGACCTGTGGTATGAACAATAGGTGCCCGACCACTGCCGTCCTACTTGACCGGTAGGATTTTCCGGAGGGTTGACCGGGTAAGGAGCCGGTGCTTTCCTTACCTCCTGGCACTCTTCTGTGTTGACCACTCGGACTACCGGGTCATAGTGGTGCCTCGGCCGGCTGGGTCCCGGCGCTTCTTCCTTCTTGACCTGCACCGGCTTGGGCTTATAATCATGCTCAGCTTCTTTCTTCGTCCGGAGTTGAGTTTCAGCCTCAGCAAACTCCCATGCAGTGTGGTAGGCCTCCTGATACGTGGCCGGGGGTTTTCGGCAGAACTCCTTGTATAGCTCCCCGGCACGTAAGCCATTCAAAAGAAGGGACAACACGGTTTTGTCATCCATCTCTTCCACCTTGTCTACCTCTTCCTTCCATCGGGTAAGGAATTGGGTGAGGTTCTCAGATTCCCTCTGCCCGGCCGTACTAAGATAGGTGAACTTCTTCCTCTTGGTACAGTTCTCCTGGAACTTGGCCTTGAATTTTGAGGCCAAGTCACTGAACGAGTCAATACTTCCCGGGCGAAGTTTGTTGAACCATTCAGTGGCTCGATTCCGCAAGGTCTGGAAGAAAAGGAGGCACTTTTCTTCATCTGTGCAACCGTTCATGGTTGCACTCTGATTGAAGGAGTCCAGGTGGATTTCTGGGTCCTCCTTACCGGTGAACCTTGGGGCGTCTATCTTAACCTTTCGCGGGAAAGGTGTCAGATGGACCCTTGCGGTGAACGGGGAGCCCGCGAGAGGTTTGTCCCGGTCACTCTTCTCCCCGACTTTCTTTTCCAGCCTCTCTAACTTTGCCTCCATCTGCTGGACGCGGTCGTTGGGGACGGTCAACCGGTTAGCCACCGGTACCCTGGGCTGGCTTTCTGCTTCCTCCTCTTGACGCGAGGCCCTCGTCCTGGC